TTTGATCCAAAACTAAGCAAAATTAGAAAATCTGATTTTTTTCCTTTTAGGCTGGTTTAGGGTTAGGATCGACCGATCCACATACGGATCGATCGATCCAATCGTCACAAATGTAGCCTTTCTTCCTTGGTCGATCCTGAACTGATCCGACGTTTTGGGTAAATTCGGATCGGTCGATCCTGTGGTCATTTCAACATTTTTGTTCCTTTTCTTCCTTTCTTTGTTCCATATTGCCTTAGACTCGTTCCAAACGTATTTCAACTTGCAAAGACTCTAAAAACAAAGAAAATACTCAATAAAACATTGAAAACACGGGTTAGAATGCGTTAAAACGCAACATATCATGGAGGTTAAACTCTACCCAAAAATAAAATAAAAATATTCTTGTTCCAGCTTGTTTCTTGTGAAACTCCGATGATGATGTTAATTCTAAAAAGAAATTATCATATGAGCTTTACCAAAGGTGTTATTGACGCAACTGTTCGATAGCAATAAGATCCCAAACAAACAAACAAAAAAATTGTCTAAAGGTTCATGAGAAACTGCAGCAAATGTCCCTCCACACACAATTCAAAGTTACAAAGAAAGACGAAACGAAGCATTAAACAGATCTAATTCAACACACTTGCTCAGTTTAGTCTGCATCCATCTCCTCGAGCGCAGTTTTAGCTGCCGTCTTTGCTTCTTCCAAAAGATCATCAGGGACCTACAATGAGTCCAAATTATGGTTATTTCTCTAAAACATCACTAAACTAACTGCATTTACAAGATTTTTTTTTTACCTTCTGATGCTCTCGTTTCGACTCCTCGCATATCCAACTCATCTCCAATTCAAAGGCCTTGTCTTTGGCTTCATCGTGTAGCTTGTAAATGCTGCACATCAGAATCACATTAGATTTTTGCTATAAAATGAAACTGTGAGTCTTTAAGCTCCCTTGCTATAAAATTGAACCACAAAAGTTTACTACGAAATCGAGTACATGAGAAGCAAGCACTACTCACATTTTCGCCACCTCAATAACGCCTTCTTTGCATGTCATCTCAGATAATTTCAATTTCTCAATTTCCCTGCAAGGAATCCACTTATCCATCAGAATTGCCTTTTTATATAAATATGTCTATACAAATTCCACAGGTCAAAGACAGCTAAAAGCTATGAAATCCATAAAACCACTGTTGTAGAGTTCGTACTCAATTCATTCACTAAATCAAAATCATCAATCTTATCAACTGTGAACGCTTACCTGATCCTTCAAGTTTTATTTATTTCTTTCTCGGGTTAATTTTGATGTTAGTTGGAATTTGCTTCAGACAAGATAAACTGTCAACCCTAGTGGTACTACAGTCTACAGATACCCTGGTAACTACACCTATCTACTACAAGAGAACCCTAGAGAATACTACGATTATACCATAAACATTCACGCTGTAGCTTACGTTTTAGCAGCTTGTTTTCCTTTGCCAATTGCTGCACCAAAATATCTCTGCAGGAAAAGAATCCATATTACGACAGAGAGAACTGGCAAAAATTTGAACCTCAGAGAGAAATGACTATATCGACGAGCAGAAAAGAAAGACGTACATATGATATGCCCGAGGGTTCAATCATGTATAATTGGGGTCCATCTCGATCATAACCTCCAAGAATGACCCCACAGCCAAATGGCCTTCAAAATTAAAAACCTTTTGTTATAATTCATTCAAGTATGCAAAATGCTTAAGGTGGCTACAAGAAGGTAGATGAATTGAGCATACCTTAGCCACCAATACAAGGTACATAAGTGCACATAACTTGCAACACGCTCTGAAAGTTCCTTCACAGGTACAGCTTCGCCGTAAACACTAAATTATCACAAGTGAAAGTTAGATGCACAATCAGGAAAAGTTCAATTATGCAAAGCAGTGCAGGAAGAAAGGAGAACATACACATTGACATCATGTGCCCAAATATTTCTATTTTCGATCTAACAAAGTACAGAATCTTTTTTCCCTTAGAGAAAAAGTTATAGGTGTAGAACAGTCATTTCAAAGTATGATGCAACTTAAACAGCAGAAGCTAAAAAGTATCATTCTGATGCTTTCATTGATACCTCTCATAACTTCTCGCTTCAGATTTGGCCCGTGCAACAATTTGCCTCCCATCAGCTGCAAGCCCAGCAACAGCCTGACATGACAGGAGGAGAAATGCTTAAAACAAGACTAGACACAGTGGTAGCTGGAAATGTACATATACTTATAGAAACCAAGTTCTTATAGGATATGAGAAAAAGGGAAAATGCATACCATGCCAGCATGACGATGAACCGAATGGATTCTCCGGTTGGAACCTGGTAGCATCATCTTTGATGCAATAAGCTTCTCCACACCCTAAAATACCCAAATAATAGACACTTAGCAAATCTAAGAAAACCAAAAGTAGCAGAAGATTATCAAAATGTAGAAACGGAAATGGAACTGAAGGATTGAGAGGACCAGCAATATTTCCAGTAAAATTAAAGCTACAAATCTGATAACAAACATGTTACACAGCAAGAACAGAATTTGGAGGCTAAATCAAATAAATTCCATCTATCATTAATCCAGGTATGATCCAATTCCGAGCACGAGTGAAGAAAGTGACAAAAGTAAGAAAAAAAATAAAAGAGGAGGAAAAGAAGCAAACCATTACAATCCCGTCCTTGCACTTGATTCCAACAACAGTCCTGCGAGAAAAAACCCTAATTCGTGAAGGAAGAGGATGGATACACAGCCGAATCGCAAAGTGGAACACAGCTAAATCGGATCTAGGA